GATAAGCACTGGACTGCTAGCTGCAAGGTTGGCAGTTCAAACCCACCTGTTGCTCTTCAGAAATCCTACACAGGGTAGTTATGAGTCAGAACCTACCTGATGACACTTAGTAACAACAATAGTTTTAATTTGAATGACACAACAGGGAAAAATGTGAGAATATATAGGAAAAGATGTATTACTAATAGGTATTTTGCTTGTAACTTATAAATAAATATTTTAAATTTTATTTCTCTACTATGAGGATACTCCTCATAAGAGTTCCATACATCAAAGTTGTTGTTAAGTGTTGTTGAGTCAATTCCAACTCATAGCTACCCTGTATATAGTTTCAAAGGAGTGACTAGTGGGTTTGAACTGTTGGCTTTGTGGTTAGCAGTCGAGTGCTTATCCTACAGCACCACACTAGGAAGCTAGGGTTAGCTATTTTAAGGAAATTTTATTTTGTTACATGTGATCACAAATTTATTTCAAAATAAAAATTAAAAAGAGACTATGATTAGGAACTTACAGCCTATCTATGATCAATAAACATTAGCTTATAAAACAGTATTATGGAACTTGACATGTCTATAGATTTGTATTGTTTTCTTGTAGTACTTCACTGGATACAGGTGATTTCTCGAGTAGCAGGCTTTCCCTGCAGTGGAAGTGGTGGCCACCTGGTGGCACATCACACTCGTACATGAGCAGGTCATTTGTTTTCAGGGCTGTGCAACTAAAACCCACATCATGAAAGGTTCTGTGGCCATGCAATCTGTTGTCATATTTCTTATTGATAGCTTAAAAAACACTTACTCTTTATATTGTAATTCGGCTATTAAAAAACAAACACCAAGGAAACAAGGTGCTAGTGTTCTACACATGACAAGAATTATTTTAAAAATTTGTTTCTCTTAATAAGCAATGAATTATAAAGAACAAGGTTATATAATTAGAAAAACTTAGAAAAGTAAAAAAACACAAAGTGATTAAGGGTTGGCCTTAATAGAGAGATGATATTCTATGAACATGTATACATGTTTTTTAAAAAATAAACTCTCATTGTTTAACTTTTGAATAAATGTTTAATAATGATAGGAGCATATAAGTATCACCTGTTGAATTTCCTCAGTTCCTCTTTGAAAATGGCTGGGTTTTTTTAATGGTTGTTAAAAAAAACTGTATTCTAAATGAAAATTGGGAGTCCTGGCATGGCGCTATGGGCTAATGCATCAGACTGCAAAGTCGTTTGAACTGCAGGATCAGTGGTTCAAGCTCACCAGCTGCTCCTTAGAAACCCTATGAAAGATTGCTATGGGTCAGAATTGACTCAACGGCACTTAACAACAATAACAAATGAAAAATGGACCAAATCCTTTAGGAATTCTTCTGTTAAAATGACTGAATTGACTTTGTTTTTTTATTTCCCATTAGTTTTTGACATTGCTTCCCAAATTCAGATGTTATACCTACTTCTCAGTCTGTGCATGGGTTGGACAATAGTTCGAATGAAGAAGTCACAAAGCAGACCTCTCCAGTGGGATTCGACTCCTGCATCCACAGGCATTGCTGTGTTCATTGTCGTAACACAGGTGAGTCTTGATCATCAGTATTAACACTGTGCAATATTCAAATAATACAAACCTGAATGTATCTCATTTCAAAATTTAAACATGTGACTTATGCGGAATTTGCGTTATTTTTAAATATAAATTTGAAAACTGGCTGGCTGTATCCCATCATGTGTGCCAAGGAGTCTGTTCTGACTCACAGTGACTGTGCTTTGGGTTTCCCAGGCTGTATATCTTTACAGGAGCAGAAAGCCTTATCTTTCTCTTGACGAATTCCTGATAGACTCAAACCTGCTCGCTGTGGATAGCAGCCCAATGCATAACCCACTACGCTACCAGACTATTAGTTCTAATCAACAATCACTCTACTGGTACTGAAAAGATTCAAGTTGTCAAGGACTTCATTTTTCTTGGATCAACTATCAACACTCATGGAAGCAGCAGTCAAGAAATGAAACGATGTATTGCATTAGGCAAATCTGCTGCACAAAACCTTTTTAAAGTGTTGAAGAGCAAAGATGTCAGCTTGAGGACTAAGGTGTGCCTGACCCAAGCCATGGTATTTTCTTTCAGTATCCTCATATGCATGCAAAAGCTGGACAGTGAATCAGGAAGACCGTAGAAGAATTGATGGTTTTGAGTTATTGTGTTGGAGGAGACTATTGAAAGTGCCATGGGCTGCCAAAAGAACCAATAGATCCATTTTGGAAGAAGTGCAGCCAGAGTGGTCCTTGGAGGCTAAGATAGCCAAACTTTGTCTCTCATACTTCGGACATATTGTCAGGAGGGACCAGTCGCTGGAGAAGGATATCATGTTTAGTAAGGTGGAGGGTCAGAGAAAAAGAGGAAGACCCCCCCAACGAGATGGATTGGCCATGTGGCAGCATCGATAGACTCAAGCCTGGCAACAGTAGTGAGGTTGGCCCAGGATCAGGCTGTATTTTGTTCTGCTGTGCATAAGGTTGCTATGGGTCGGTATCGACTCGATGGCACCTAACAACAACAACAACAGCTATTGGTACTAGTATAGGTGGTCTTCAGAATATAATTGTAGCTTACTAAATCTGAGCAAAGGTCAGCAGTTTGAACTCACCAACTGCTTGGCAAGAGAAAGATGAGACAGTCTGCTCCCATAAAGACTGGCCGCCTAGGAAACCCAATGGGGCACATTCTCTTAGGTAGGGTCTCTATCAGTTGGAATTGGGTCAGTGGCAGTGGGATTTGGTAGTAGCTTATTTAAGGAAGTAAATTAGTATTTAGACTAAATTCTGGTTTCCTTTCTTTCATTTATGGCTTTTTCATACTTTCTAATATATAGCAAATACTCATTGTTGGACTAGGGAATCGGTGAATTTGCGTTTCATCCATTGACAGGAATCTTTAGATCCACTTCTGCTACAATATACATAAGACTTACAGTGAATATCTGAGATAAATTAAAAGGAAAATATAGAATAAGGTGATTGGGATCTTATTTCTGAAGACTTCTGGATTTTTAGAAAGGTCTTCTGTACATCTTTTTACCTTTTTCATTGTACCAATAGGATTTCTTTTATTCTAGGGTAGCCATATGCATAAGGAGTCTTGATGCAGTGGGGTAAGCCTTGGGCTGCTAACCAAAGGATCAGTGGTTTGAGCCCACTGACTGCTCCATGGGAAATCTATGGATTAATTATATTTATAGGGTAAGCTATAGGACTCCTTTTGTGGTGCTGTGGAATCAACACTGGATTT